CAACGTCTCAAGTTTCCGACCTCCGATTCGAACACCACAGTCAGCTCGTCAACGCAATTCTTGGAGAAACTTAAAGGAGTAAGTCTCCTGCCAAGCGATATCATGGTTTCCTTTGATGTCACGTCGCTTTTTACTTCTATCCCGCGGTACCTGGCAGTCGAGACCATCGAACTACTCCTACGAGAGAAATACGACGAAACGGAGAATCGCCCCGGACACGCCCAAATCATCCAGCTCCTGAAGTTCTGTCTCAAGACGTACTTTACGTTCGATGGAACAATCTACGAGCAGGTGAAGGGAACGCCAATGGGTTTGCCGATTTCGGGACTCATAGCCGAGGCGGTCCTTCAACGGCTGGAGTCGCTGGTTTTCCGACACCACAGACCGAAATTTTGGGCTCGGTATGTGGATGACACCTTCGTCGTCATTGAACGGGATCGGGTGCTGACGTTCGAAGAACAACTCAACGCCGTCTTCCCGGACATTCAATTTACGATGGAGGAGGAGGAAAACAATCAGCTGGCCTTCCTGGATGTCCTCATCTTTCGCAAAGATTGTGGTGGCCTAAAAACCAAAGTGTTCAGGAAAGCGACAAATACGACGCAAATACTGAACTTCAATAGCAACCACCCGATCAGTCACAAACGCAGTTGCGTAAGGGCGCTAGACCGGCACGTTGAGACGCACTGCAGTGAAATGGAAGACAAAGTTGCTGAATTACAATATCTTCGACGGGTCATGAGCGCCAATGGTTACCCGCGCAACTTTGTCAACCAGTGCATACGAAAAGGACACCAGAGACCAAATCCAACTAGCCCCAAATTTTGGCGGGCTCTTCCAAACGTGAAGAACGTCTCGGAAGCCGTCAGTCGTCTTCTCACTCCACTTGGAGTTGGGGTTGCACACAGGCCGGAAGCAACCATTAGGCGCCAAGTCATGAGGCCAAAAGACCCGCTGCCACGGCAGGAAACGTCTGGAGTCGTTTACCGGATCTGGTGTAGTTGCGGACAAAGCAATTATGTTGGAGAAACTGGGAGATTACTCCGTACGCGAATTGCCGAGCACGCAGCAGCAGTGAGGCGGGGAGACGCTAACTCTCAGGTGGCGGCACACTCGACGGGACCCTGCCATATTTTCAAATTTCAAGAGGCCGAAATCCTCGCAAGGGATGACAACCGCGTGAGCTGCGAGCTGCTCGAGTCGTGGTTCTCAGCCCCGCAATCCATCAACAAGCACAATGACCTCCCGGTACCATATTCCGTGCTGAGATTTTCCCTGAGCAGAAGAATCAGTCACGTGGGGTGGGCGCGGGCGAGCAATTATCACGGTGACAGTGAGCCAGTTTGCTGAGCCATCGTCACACCAGCATCCAGCACGGATGACGAAATCGGGGCAATTAACGACTCTGACTCGGACCGCCAAGCCACCGCCGCATCAATCACGACCCCAGCGGCGATTGCGAGAACTATTAATTGCAGTGCGCATACGGTCCCACGGCAGCCACGTGCTATAAATACTGCACTCCTGGTGCCACCATCACCTCTATCTGCGAATGTCTCTGATGATGGATTCGAGTGAGGATCCGAAACGTCAGGCAAATAAATTTCTTGTTCCAGTGATAGCATATTCATCTTCTGAACTGCTACCTGGAACTAGCCTGTTCGCTTCTATCAGCAATAGGAAGATCTGTTTGCGGAAGAGGTAGCATAATTAAATAGATTGCTTTAGTCGACAGAAACTCAAACAAGCTTATAAATGTCTTTGACATCAAGGAACTTAATAAGAACTCAGGTTAAGTGGAAAAACGACGCCATGGAGATTCAATTCCCAGCCCGCATACAGCGGACATTCAAACTAATCGTCCGGAAACGACATTGTGCCTCTCATCAAATTCGCCAACAGGAAAGCCTCCTCCGCGAGCGCAGTATTATTCTTATCTTATGATCGAAAACCCAAGGCACAGGTAAATAAACTGGTCTAGCGCATTCAAGCGTTAATAATTGTTAATTTTGCGTTGGCCTTACGGATAGTTGACTTGGCGCTTACATTAAGGAGCACGTTCTGTGACACCCATTACGATCGCTTGTGATTCGTCTTTGCCATCTCTCTTGAGTGGTGACTACCGATAGCTCTCCGTCTTTGTCAACTATATCCACTGTGTGCTCCACCGTAGGGGTGGAACAGGAACGGCGACTTGAGTGTGGGTTAATTTATTACAATATTTGACATGCATAGAATCTAGTGCACTCTCATTTCTCCCCCAATATGAGCCCAGTGCATGATTAGGTCATAAGGACCGGAAGCTGGAGGGGACGAATTTGGCTGCCACAAAGAAAGCCCGCATCTAGGCGCACCACCACACCTTCCGGTCCAAAAAAACACTTGGCCAGGATTTTCAGCAACAAAAAATATGAGGAGAGCGGATGGAACCACCAGTGGCACAGCGCGAGCCTGCATATTGGCCTCCCGCTGTGCTCCAAATGCTGGCATTTGTTATAAGCGCGCATTGCCAATAAAGTCTACCGGAATCCGATATAGCATCCGTGTTGGCCCTGCGCATCTACTGCGTGGTCCATTTTTGAGGCACAAAGTGTGTCTACCGTTTCGTTTGTCGAGAGACTGGGTAATGTCCATGCCAAAACAAAACAGGTACGGGAATTCCTCGCGGCTTGCCCCTCGCCTGACGACATCGTAGACTGGTTTATTGCTGCTATTGATTTGTATCTAATGCGATAATACCGACAATGTCTAGGGAGACCGGGATGGCCATTTCTGGCCTGTTGGCTATCATCAGCCAGTCGTACCCAATCCCGAGGGCGGATTACTTGAGATGCAAACCAGGGACCTTTGATCATGAAGCTTGACACCCTATCATTGAGCCACGGGCCCTTTGTCTTCTCGGTTTTGATCGAGAATATCAGTTATGACAAATGGGTGCTCACCGACCAGATTACGAAACATGCTTGTTCCGTTGTGCCTTGCAGCTCATACTAGAACCCTCGCAGGCAATCGCACAGCGACTGGTTGTAGAGGCAAATGGGATGATATTGACAAAGACAAGAGGGACCGTAATGGCCATTTCTGGCTTCTTAGTCGTCATCAACCAGTTATACCCAACCCCAAATGTAGATCACTTGAGATTCCAACCCGATATCTTTGGTCATGGAGTGTAAAACTGCCATTGAGACACGGGTCCGGTCTCCCTTGTCTTTGTCCTTAATATCTCATTACGTCTATTACTAGTTGCTGTGCCTGAGAGGATTCTAGTAGGAGCTCCCAGGCACAACGGAACGGGCATGTTCCGTAACCTGATCGATGAGCACTCACCTGCCATAATTTATATCTTATTTTGTTTAGCCACGACTCTAAGAGGACGCAAAGACGCCAACTGCGCCTGCAGTTCGAAATATTCCGGTCGACGATAAGTGAGAATTTGTCATTCGCTGAAGAGTTCAGTACGTATTTCTGTAGTTATCGCGGCGAGGTTTGGTCCTACAGCTCCACCTGAGTGATACCACACGATGAGCTTTATAAAAAAAACTTGAGTGCAAGTACGCTGACTTCGCAAATATCATGTATTTACAACTTTCCCACAATTTTAATCTTGCGAGTGACTGTTTCAGATGTGACGAATGCTATACCCCAACCTCGGTTACCTCAGAAATCAGTTCATACACACTTTCCTGAGTGTGCTTCGAGCCCTGCTTGCGCCATCTTTATTACCCCAATCCAGCTAGTAAAATTGTTCCAACGGTTTGAAACGCCGTTGGTTTCACTACAGAGCCCATGGACGGCAAATTACCACGCGCTTCCCACCGTGGGCTTCCAGTTGTGATTCCTTTCTCCTTCTTCCCTCAGTCGAGCTAGTGGCTCTGTCGGAGTGTGAACGCGCCAATTTCACTCGCTTTCCTGCGCGAGCTCCGAGTTCTGTTTGCGCTGTCTTCCCCCTGTCAATCCAGCGAGCGGTTATGTTTTTTAACTAATACTGTTTCTATAAGATAATCAATTGGTATCACACAGGTGAGGCTGCAGAATAAAACTTCGCCGTTATCACTTAATTTATTTACCTGCGCTTACCACCCAATTTATGAATTGGTACTCAGGTATACTCAGACTCTCAGATTGTTGTGACGTAATGTCTGAATCCCCATATATTTCCAAGCAAAAATTATGATTAATATAAAATTATTGACGGAATTCTGGATCTCACTGTCACCGTATATTTACTGAAATCATTGAACAGATATGAACGTTTATTCACGATCCACTGTTCGCTGTTGGACTCAAATACATTCACAAACAGCCTTATGAGCGTACCACAAATGGACTCTATTAAAAATCTGATATAATCAGGAGTCGCTGATGGATCAAAACGTGGAAGTAATATCGTTATCCACAATGTATCTCACGCGATTTGCGCGACACCATCAGTGCAGACACTTGTTCCTTCGTTTGCCCTCCACACCTGCATATCATCCACGAGGAAAACATATATGAGTTAAAATGAAGCAGTCTTAGTAATCTTTTATATATAGATCGAAATTAAACTAATGCTATGTAATCTTCGGTTAGACGAAAATTTTCGCAACTCTAGATCACTCATAAATACATATTTAACATTAATTCAAAGGCGTCAACTTCATAAAAGATGCACTAAGTATAAACAATATAGTCAACATCCAGTGAGTAACCAATCTCATAAAATGTTTGGCGAAATTATGAAATGCATTTTCGATTACGTAGGGTGACTTAGGTGAGTTTGTAACATTGAGCACCATGCAACATTATCCTGTTATACTAAGGGTTTGCCAGAGTACTGCCCTTGAATGCACCTCATTTTGGCCTCCTGGGAAACGTGAACTCGGCAAAAATGACTACTAATGTAGTAGGGGACTTTTTAGGGGTATTTTATAGAAAACGTGCACATAGTATACCCTCATTTGAATCATTTGGCGGCAATTCACGTTAAATTTAGAGTTCAGAGTCAAATATAATGTACAATTCATTTTTAAAAAGCTTTACCTAGGAGATTGTTCAAGGCCGTTCAGTGTCCATTCATGCAGTATCATATTAGCCCGGTTATTAATGATCCGACATAATTCGCATCCATAGCAAAATACAGTAGCCGGGCTAACTTATGAAATGTCAACCAAAATTGCAAAATGCGTTTTCGCCTTGGAAAATATTAATCAAGTACGGTTGTAAAACTAATCATCTTGCCGCATAGTTCTGTGACTATTTGGTTAACTCGAGATAACGGTTTTCGAACGAAAATCTTTCCGACTATACGCAAAAAATAGACTCTGTAGAAAATAACTACTTATGTATGTAGCGTGGATTTTCCTCATTGATTTTCGAATCCCTTAAAAATTTAAATATACTTTATGGAACACATGCATGCAAATATCCCTTTTTTAACGATTTGGTAGAAAATGACGTTTTCGTCCACTTTTATGCTTGAAGGAAGGGTATAAATCGGTTTTCAAAAACCTTCCCAATTCCCACCGAAAATGAACTTTCGGTGGTGGTCATTTCTGCGACACCTAGTCGCAGAGGTTTGCTAATCAAACTGGCAAAGTTTAATGGTCGTTCCTGATAGTTAGATGAAAGATGAACTTACCGAATCGAGTTTATTTAGATTCTGAGGTTTCGAAGACCTTGGTCATCTTCACATTGTCAAAACGTAAAATCCATTTAATCGATCAGAAGTACCAAGTGGCAAGTTACGCTGGTCGACCTCATGCTGAAAGATTTTCCTTTACTTTCACGAGATCGGCCTCTCGGGACATGGTTGGCGGTCTTTTTATCTCTGTGCTTGGTTAGTCACCGCATCGTCGGGCGGAGGTTATTTAACGATATTCGGGTGATAGTTTGGCGGCTCTTCTTCTTCCTCACAGAGTAGACTCTTCGTCGGGCTGTCTCTGTGTGGACCTCTTAGGTGCGGTGTGTTTATTTGGTTCTGAGTTCTACGACTGTGACTACGTAGGATTTTGTAATATGCTTCAACGTCCAGATGCCTCTTGATGGAGTGGGCTTCGGAGTACCACGCCTCGAGGGTTAGCCGTTCGCTTTTATGCTGCCCATGCCTAAGATGGAAATTGAAATTATGCCCAGTTTCTCCAACGTGTGTTGCCCGTTGAAAGTTTGGACCTAACCTCCGAGTTGCCGATTTATGCTCTTGTGGGCGAGTCTGCAATTTCCCCCGATTCCTCTCAAATAGTTGCAGTCACCATCATTGCAATTTATTTTTTAGTTGACTGCTGACGCTTCAACGGGTAGCAATGGGTCCTTAGGTTGCATCAGACAACGTCGAATTGTTGCCTGGAGTCGATGGGCTATGCGTATTCTGG